CAAGAAAAACTAAGTTTGGCAATAAGTATGCACCAAAAACCTTAAAATATATATACACTTCTATTGAGCAATTCCACCACAGGAATTTATTCTAATTAAAGGAAAGCACTGATGAACAAAAATATGTACAGCATTATTTTCATTATTATAGTAACCTGAAAAAACAAAATCTCTGTAAATATAATCATTGTTCAAATGTAGGAAAAATCAAAGTCACATTTTCAGGTATAAAAAGGAATCTATTCAGTGTGATAAAAAAAATGTAAGTATCAAATTTACATAGGCCTGTTGTAATTCAACACGGTGGCAATGATTTCTCCACGAAACACATTACAGAGAGTTTGTCTTGCTTTATGGTATTTCTGGCTATTTTCGATATTATTTTATTTTGTAAGACCGGGAAACACTGAAAGCACATGAAGATTTTCTGAAATCAGTCAACAAAGCCTCTACGCCAAGGTGAAGTAGGCGTACCCAGAGCGAGGCTCTGAGCAAAACCATTATACTTTCCATGAGCTGACTGGAGTAGAAAACATAACCCTCCCACAGGATGAAAGACACGAGTCTTTACTGGTGTCCTTGCATCAGAGCCCTGTGTGGTCAGGCATAACGAGGAACACCTGCCAACTCTGCTCCAGCGACTGACGAGCTTTAGAACCTTCTTTCACTTGGAGTCTGCTGGCAGTGAAACCACGCTGAGCATCTTCTATTGATTCCCAGATCCACTCTCCCCCCACTTCTGGGCCCTGCTGTCTGGCTTAACGTGGCTCCCAGTCCTCTGACTTCTCTGGGTTTGGACAAGGGGAGTGATGACAGGAGACCAGAGAGCAAGAGAAGAAAATCAAGGTATTTATTCCCCCAGCTCCCCACCCCCCGTCAGGTCCCCGTGGACTGGCTGCATCTCTCCACTGAAGGCCACAGGTCCTGTTGGGCAGGCCTCTCCACACCCCTCAGCCTGCCTCTGATGTTCTGGGTTTCCCAGAACCTTCTCCTGGCCCCTCCCCTTCAGGTCCAGGGCTGTAAACCCTTCTCACTATTACTAGCCCAGTGCTGCTCCATCTCTCACTGCTTTCCCCAAACCCTGCCCACACCTTTGTAAATAGTCCCCAACCAAGTCTCGATCAAATCATCCTCACCTGATTCCACACAGGACCTTAGTTGATACAGTAAGAGCAAATATAATTATCCAAAGAAAAAACAAATATGGCAAGGTGCATTTATACTTCACAAAGCAAAAGGAAAAAGTGTCTTAATACAGTTTAGAAAATGTTTTCTTTCAAGTTTCCGATAATAAGTTTAACCCCATGTTATCTTTATGGTTTGACTATTCTACAATACCTAGATACTTTAATTTCCAGTCCTTTTTCCCCCCAAGATTTTGGGCACGTTACTAACCCTTAAATAACCCCCGTGTACAGGACAGAGGATGACTAGAAGAGAACACGGGTTCTTTATTTCTCACAAGACACAGTGCTTTTGCCACCTCACACTGAAAGGCAGGTATTTTTCTTTTAGGTCCCCCTTGTATTGATTCGTAACACACCTTTTCACTTGGCTGTGACTGGGTTTGACTCTGCTCCGAGCTTCACAAGGTAGTCAAGTTTAGTCCATCCAGATGTTTCTGGTCTGCAGCAGAGGGAATTCAACTCAAGTGAGTTGATTAACCATTTAAGGATATGAGGATCCCACTAAAAGATTCTTCCTAAAAAAAAGCAAGACTATCTCACAAGCTTGTTTCAATGGCAAGCTCCTGTACTCAGAGGAGGAAAGACAATTCTGAGAAGAACATGGGGTCTGTCCCTGATTGCCCCCAGCCCAATTCCAAGGAACAGGAGGAAGAATGCTCTTTTCACTCAAAATTGCTCTGCGGCATCCCAGACACAACGCAGAACTGCACTGATAACAACATATGAAAGGACAGCACAGGACATGGGAGAAAGTGACTCTTTCTCACTTGAGCAGAGCAATTCACGCACAGCAGTGAGTTAACACTGGGGTCCCTCCCTGCATGGTAAGCTGTCAAA